GTAATTTTTAAACCAATCTCCTGTTTCCAGACGTTAAACTGTTTCCAGGTTTGGTATTGCAGGCCTGTAATCTGAACTTCTGATCTCTCTCTCTCTCTCTCTCTCTCTCTCTCTCTCTCTCTCTCTCTCTCCCTTACTTTTTCCTATTTTATTTTTGTGGTACTGGGAATTGAAGCCAGGGCCTCACACATGCGAGGTAAGAGCTCTACCAGTATGCTGTGCCCCTGAACACTCTCTTCTTTCTCTTCCTCTCTTTTTCTTCTTCTTCTCCTTCTTCTTTTTCTTTAATGCAAAATACCATAGGCCCCTATCCCTTTCAGGAAATATTGTGAAAATAACTAACTTTATTAAAAGTCTCATTTATTTCTTATTCCTTCAATTTCTTTTTCACTTGCTACTGAAAGATTTTCTTCTACATTTGCTTTATCTCCTTTGTCTTCTTCTAATTTTCATCCCGGTAATGACCTAAATCTCGCTGCTTCTAGGTTAAGCCCCGCTTTAACACGTTTGCCATCTGTTGCCCTGGTTTCTCAAGCACAAGATTTTATCCCCTTGATAACTTTTCATTAAGCTCATCTTTGTACCATCTTGATAAACCCTGCTGTCATTATTACAGCTTGTTTTACTGTGCTGACAGAGGCTACCTTTTGAGCTAACATCTAAATATTGTCAAAGGACTGTATAAACTGCCTGGCCCAGATCTTTTCAAATATAGTTATATTTCACATAGTAATTATCTTTCTCATGACTGACCATTATGAAAATTACACAAAGGTTTTTAAACACTATTTTGAGCACTTCTCTTAACTTCTGATGAATTTTTCCAATAAAGTAATTTCTTTTTTGCAGTATCGGGGATTGAACACAGGCCTTGTGTATGCCAGGCAAACACTCTACTACTGAGCTACATCCCTAAACCTTTTACTTTATTTTGAGATGGAGTCTCACTAAATTGCCTAAGCAGACACCAAACTCATAGTCTTCTTGCCTCAGCCTCTGGAGTAGCTAGCATTGCAAGTATGTGCCATTGGCTCAGAATGACCCTTTTCTTTTATTAGCCAATCTACAACCTCACCTGCAGAATATTGCCTTCTTGTCACCTAAATTTGTATTCCGCTGAGTGTAGGGACACACACCTGTAATCCCAGCACAAGGGAGGCTGAGGCAGGAGGATCACCTCAACTTCAAGAAGTTGCCTCAAAAATAAATTAATTAATAAATAATAAAATATTAAAAAAGAATAGTGATAGGGAATGTGAAGAAATGTTGAGTGAAGGGCAATAGTATCATAAAGAAAGGTAAATTGCAAGGCTGCACATATTGGAATCGGCAGGTTCAAGCAATGGAATAGAGGTCACTGAAGCCCCATCTCTTCCAAACCTGAAGAAAAAAATTTTTTTATTAAACTGATGTGATTAAAAGTTTCCAGTAACTAAACTAAGTATGAGTTTTCAAATCTATACTTATTTTTTGCCAGGAATGATGGTGCATGCCTCTACACCTAGCACTCAGGAAGCTGAGGCAGGAGAATCACTGCAAGTTCAAGCCACCCTGGAAGACATAGGAAGACCCCATCTCAAAATTTTTTTCAATTTATGTTCTATTTTTACTTTCTTCATTTTTGTTTCCTGGCCTCAAATTCATAATACTCTTGGCTCAGCCTCCAGACTACTAGGATTATAAATTTGCACCACCATACTTGGTTTCAAATTTAAGTGTAAAGTAAGTAAAATTGAGAGAGGAAAATGTCCTAAGAGTGATGGTGATGATGGTTGTGGATGTAACCAGTAAATTTTAAAAAATAATTTTTTTGGTACTGGGAATTGAACTCAGGACCTTGCACTTGCCAGGCAGGCACTTGTGCGGCTGATCTATAAAAGAAAATCATTGTACAGATGCACATACACAGTGTGTGACAGTGCATGCCTGTGATTTAGCACTTGGGAGTCTAAGAGAAGAGGAGAGGAGATCAGCCTGGGCCACTTAACAAGTTTGATTCCAGGCTGGACTACAGAGCTAGACTCTAATTGTAGCTAGGTGCAGCACTGTACTGCAATCCCAAGAGGCTAAAGTAGGCCAGGCATGGTGGTACACACCTGTAATCCCAGCACTCGGGAGGCTGAGGCAAGAGGATCACTGTGAGTTCAAGGTCAGCCTGGGCTACAAAGTGAGTCCAAGGCCAGCCTGAACTGCATAGTGAGACCCTGTCTCAAAAAGACAAAAAAAAAGAAAAGAAAAGAAAAAAAACTATTGTATACCTGAAATAGATACATATAAAATATACCCCAATAAATATTTGTTTGTTTCTTTATTCATTTTGTGCTTTTGAGACAGGGTCCCACTATGCAGTTCAGATTGGCCTAGAATTCACTCTCTAGCTCAGGCTGGCTTCAGATTTGTGGCGATTCTCCTGCCTCAGCCTTCCAACTGCTGGGATGACAGGTGTGCACACCAGGCCCAGTTTAGTATTTTCATGAAATAGGTATCCGAAATGAAAAGCTGCCCCTGAAGCTAGGGTGAGAACTGGGTATTGCTGGTAGGAGTATGAAGCGGTAGGTCCTTTCTGAAGGTTAATTGGACAGTTTGGAAAGAAGTACCAAAGGCTTTAGAATTGTGTATTCTCTGTGGCTTAGCAGTTCTACTTCTAGTAATTAATCTGAGGAAAAATAATATAGTAATTTTGGATGTAGGGGCTGGGGATTTAGCTCAATGGCAAAGCGCCTGCCTGGCAAGCACAAGGTTGTGAGTTCAATTCTGGTTACCGGAAGAAAACCAAAAGAAAAAAGTAATTTTGGATGTAAGTAAGGGTTATTCTATGATTTTTTTTTTCAGGAATTGAGGATTGAATCCAGGGCCTCAAGCATGCTAGGCAAGCTCTCTACCACTGATTTACTATCCCTATCCTATGAAATTTTTTTTTTTTTTTTTTTTTTTGAGACAAAGCTATAGTTCTATTCCAGGCTGTCACTGAACTCACCCTGTGAGAATTTTTAATGCAATGTAGTTGCAAAAAAATTAAAAACCATCTTTTTTCTTTTTTTTTAATCTTTTTGGGACAGGGTCTCACTATGCAGTTCAGGCTGGCCATGAGCTCACTTTGTAGCCTAGGCTGGTCTCAAACTCGCAATGATCCTCCTGCCTCAGCCTCCTGAGTGCTGGGATTACAGGCATGCGCCACCAGGCCCAGTTTAAAAACTATCTAAATACTCATCAGTATAGCATTGGTTGAACTAATTATGATATGTTTATAGACTAGAACTACAAGTAGACATTGAAACTTAGATACTAGAGAATATTCAGTAATTTTAAAATGACAATTGTTTGTTACTTATTGATTATCAAAAAGCAAAGACTTTTTTTTAGAAATAGTAATCTAAAGTAGCCAATCCTATAGAAATAGAAAATGGAAGGATGGGGGGCTGGGGATTTAGCTCAGTGGCACAGCATCTGCCTGGCAAGTGTGAGGCTGTGAGTTCGATTCTTGGTATTGGAAAAAAAACAAAAAAAAAAAAAAAAAAGAAAAGAAAATGGAAGGGTGGTTGCCAGAGGCTGGTGGAGCAGGAAGTGAGTTGTTATTTAAAGGGTATGAAGTTTGGGTGTTTGTTTTTTTTTTTTTTTT